TCYCATTTCCATATATACACATGTCCAGGAGCGTGCGCACACACGCGGACTCACGCTGCCCGAGGGGCTCACCTCTGTTCCTTGCTTGGCACTCTTCTTAGAGGGGCCCACGTCACTGCTCCTCCTCTGCTCACCCAAGTGTGCCCACCTTGAGGCTGGAAAGGAAAAGAATGGTGGCGAGCCTGTGATTCTGGTGTGGCCTCCTGAGGATGAAGCTCCTCTGCCCCAAAGCAATAACAGCAGCAGCGGCAGTCACCCCTGGGTTCTTCCCAGTGCCATCTACCCTCRTCCTGGAGTTTCCTTCTGTGACCTGAATGCCAGCTCACCTGGGGACTGGAAACCGCTGGGATGGAAGTTTTGTTTCTGCTTTTCCCTCTGTAGCTGTTGCTTCCTCAGGCTCGGACCACGCTCCGCTCTCCCCATCTTTGGAATGTGGATCTGTACTGTGATTGCTCCTTGGGGCGTGTGAGAGCTGGCCGAGCCAGAGAAGCTGGGGCACCTGAGCCACCTGTGTCAGGAATGGATCCTGGCTTCGAGCGTCTCGGGGCCCTGGCACCCCTCCACTCACACAGGCATACCCCAGGACCACTGCCTCTCGGTGGAGGCGAGCAGTGGGCGTGTGAGGGGCCTGCTCAGGGTGCCTGGGAGCCAGGCTTCTGCTGCCCTCTGCCGTGCACTGGGAACAGAGCTCTGTGAGCCAGGCTGGTGGAGGTGGGGAGTGTCCAGATTGCTGGGACTCCTTGTGGCAGGATGCCCGGGACAATTGGGGGCAATGCTATGATTCACTTGCTTCAAATAAAAAGTTCCACCCCATTGCCAGCTCTCAGATGTCATCAAGGTGTTTCGTTGGGAACAGAGCCAGGGCTGGGCTATCTGTCCCTGCTTCACCCAGCAGTCTGCATTGGCTTCCAGACCCTCTCTCTCCTGGCTCCCCTCCCTCAGGGAAGTGGACCCCCAAGGTCAGCTGGTGCTAGGGTCAGGAGTTCACGACCATGACACTCAGGTGCTGAGCCAAGGTGACGAATCTCCTCCACCTGGGCTGACTCACAGCCAATGTTCCTTCCGGGAGATTATAGGCTTGGGACTCACTGAGACTTGAGTGTGYCCCTCTGTCAGAGGTCAGACATATGATAGCAAAGAGTAGCTCAGCAGTCTGTCTATCTCATCACCTGCTGCCCCCAACTCCTCTATGAGCCATGTCCTTTATCGCCACCCTCCTCCCGATGTGAGGCATCCTGGAGTCCTGGTAACATCACTCTCTTCTCTTATTATTTAATCACCAAGTCTCCTCTCCATGYTTTGTCCCCAAGAATCTTCAGACGGGCACCACTTGTTGTCCTTTCTCGGCTACCACCTTGGTCAAGCCACCCTCCCCGCTGCTGTCGCAGGCCCTTACACGCCACCCTGCCCACCCACTTCCCGCATCCTCAGTCCAGCCCCCTAAAGCATCCTTCCGTCATGTCATGCCCGGACCAAGAACCTTCCGTGACTCCCTGTTCTGGTGACATTGGGGTCCTCTGGGACCTCGTCCTGACTGACACACCCAGGGCTCTGTGGGCAGTCAGTGCTTCTCTCCGTGTCTGAGAATGGAGTCGGAGAGCCCATGACAAAGCGGGAGTAAGGGATGAGTTMGATGGGGCTAGGCTGGAAGTGACGCTGAGGGCACTAGGAAGATGGGGGCCTTGAAGACAGCACACAGGGTACAGCAAAATGGCGGTGGTGAATGACAGGGCCCCCCTTCTCCTTGTCACCTCCTTGCCACTTACGGTCTTTAGTGAATGGATGCCTTTTGTTGCCTTGTGTGGGTCCATGTCAGGATAACAGACAGGAGGGGATAGAACCTGGGGGAGACAAGATCTCCTCGGGCAGGGGGTACCGAGCTGTGTCACCCTGGATAGGCCAAAATCCCTTCTGCAGGACCTCATTAGCTATCCAGGGCTCCTTTGGTCTCTTATGTGTCACATATTTCACAAATGTGTCACAGGTCATTCACCCCCTAACTGATCACTCCATTGAAGACTTGTGGACACGGGGGATGGACACCAGGTCTGGAGCTCCCAGAGCTCCCAGATAGCAGGGAACCATGCAWCTGCAGATGTCCGGCAGAACGTCCCCTGGGTTCTGCCATCAGGATCCCACATGTGTGAATTTGGACTCCGTCCCTCTGCTTGGTGTGAGATTTCAAGCAAGTCAATTGGCTTCCCTGAGCAACTGCTCCTTTTGCAAAGCAGATGAGAAAACTTCCAGCCCAGTGCAGGGGCACATGCCTGTAACCCCAGTGACTCAGGAGGCTGGGGCAGGAGGCTTTGGTCAAGGTCAAGGCCAGTCTTAGCAACTTAGCAAGACTGTCTCAAAATAAAATAAAAAATAAAAAGGGCTAGGCTGTATTTACTACTCAGTAGTAGAGTGCCCCTGGGCTCAAACCATGCAGCAARAAGCTGGGCATTCAGGGACCAAKGGAGAGAAATATCTCCCATCCTTGGGGGAGTATGGGACGAGGTGTGGGGAGACTTACTTTTTGGAATCCTGATGTGGCCATTTGACATTGTTACTAGCTGAGCAAAAGCAGCTAGTAACACTCAGCCATGTGACTTTGCCTATGTGTCTCAGTCTCCTCATCTATAAAATAGGTATAATCATGATATATACCTGACAGGGTCATCTATGATAAAATTTAAATGCATTATATATATTAAGATATATAAGGCTCTTTGAATAGAGTATGTGGCACATAATTGTGATCTGTATTGGTCTGTGGGAATGTATGAGATACACAGGTGACTCTGGGAGGCATGCTTTGTGTGATAGGCAATATATCTTTGGAGAAAACCCCTGCACCCTACATCTGACCTTTGACTTCAGATGCCCAGCTACCCTGCTGCTGGCCTCACCCGCTATGGTTGACTGGTCTGGGTTTCTACCTCCTCAAACCTCATTCATGTGCTCTTGGCTAAGCAGGCCCCCTAGAGTTCCCAAACCTCATAGTCTTGGGATTGCCTGTCCTGCTTTTGCAAATGGGAAATGGGCCCTTAGCCTGTGCCTGGGAGAGGTTGCCAGGGACAGTGAGTCGAGTCTTCCAGACGCGTTGACATTGCGTTGACATTGCGTTGCCCAGCTGAAAGGTAAACATCACTTGTGACAGCCGCTCTCTCCAGGGGAGAGCTCCCCCAAGGATGGGAGACATTTCTCTTCCTTGGTCCCTGAATGCCCAGCTTTTTTGCTGCATGGCTGCTTGGTCACCTGCCCTGGGGCTCATTCATGTGTCCAGAGAGCTGCTTAGCAACCCAGTTTAACTGGGTGACTGTGTCAATAGCTCAGGACCAAAGGCCACAGAAATCAGAGTCCTGGTGATCCCCCAAGCACAAACATTGGGACCAGGAGTCGCCATGTAAGAGACCATTCCAGCTAGGTGGACGTAGATGGGCCAGGAGAGCTGTTCTTAGTGGATGAGCTCAGGCATGGGGCTCCCGAAGGCAGCCAGTGGGGAAGATGTACCAAAGGACCTGGATTTGCATGTGCCTCCTGAGGAATGGATGTCCCTTCCCTTCTGTCTCCCAGCTGATCCCCTTTACCATCAATCACATCCTTCCTCCTTCAAGGAGACCAGGGATACTTTTCTCCTAAGAACCATGTCTGTGCCTCTAGCTGGATGGTGGCTGGGACCTTCCTGATGGGATCCCTGGCGTTTCTTGTTCCTCCAGCATGGGATGGGGCTGGGGTGGGTGAACATGAGGAAGGCATCCGCCCCGGGAGAGTTTCTCCTGTGGGCTGGTTTCACTACTGTCTCTCACACTCAGCAATACCAATAAAATTGATGATAATAATTAAGACCATATAATCACAGTGTGTTTATTTATCCCCCAAAAGCCTCCTTTCCCTGACTCCCATCATTACCTACCCCATCCTTTTCATAGGTGGTGGGTGTTAACTATGGCTCTAATAAAAAGTGGTATGTGTTTCTGCTCCCTGGCCCCGGGGCAACTCTGCTCTCACCCTCTCCTCAGCACAGCACAGGGGGACACTCTTCTCCCCATTTTCAGAAGGAGCGGCTGAGGCAAGAAGCAGGTATTATCACAAAGAATGAAATCCCTCGTGGGAAGGTGTAAAGGCAGCAAAGGCTGCCTTCTTTCTAGAATCTTCTCCCTTCTTCCGATGTCCTCCTCTCTCCCAGAGGAACTTCTCCAGTTCCCTGTCCCCCTCCAGGGTCACTCACAGCTGGCCACTGCTGATCCCTCCCAAGACTAACCAGGCCATATAATTAGCATTAGCCAGTAGCAAACACCACTGGGTGACAGCGGCCAAATGACTTCACCAAGCATATTTCCTAGATGGTAAAGGGGATCTTTGCAAAAATTAAGACTTCATGGGCATAAAATCAGTACAAAACCTCAAGCGTGGATGCTGTGGTGTTCCTAGGGATATCTGTATTCCTGACTCAGAGGAACAGATGGGATTTCAAACTTCTAGTGAAGAAGGTACATTAAAGTCGTGTCCAGGTGTGTGAGCCGTGGAAAGATGCCCCAGAGAGAAGTTAAATCCTTGGGGGGTGACTCCCTCAGATTCGCGGTGCTTACTGACTTCTGGTCTACAGTGGTGTAACACTGGAACTTGTTCGCGCTCAACCAAGTTTGCTGCCAGGTTGTGCCTGGGCTTCCAGGGTGGACCCCACCCATCTCATTCCCTATCCCATTTTACAGAGGGGAAAAATGAGGCGAGAAGGAAGTACACTGGGAGAAGCTAGTGAACAGCCRTGAGAACTCTGGAGGCCAGGTTTTCTTTGTCTCTCCCCCTTTCTGTGGCACCTTCCCACCGCCTAATCTTCCCAACTGGAGAGCTGCTCTACCCTGCGGCCCCACCCTCGAGTCCGGCTGAGCATCGCCCTTTAAGGGGCCGGCCTCTCACCTCCCTGACCTGGCTCCGCCCCTCCAGGGCCGCACTGCGCCTGCGCCGCGCGCCGGAGCCCTGGGGTTGGGCAGGACCCAGTTCCGTGCAACTTTCAAGTGAGTTGCAAACTCCGCCCCGGAGGCCGGTGCCGACTGCCTGCCGCGCTGGGACCGCGGCGACCCGCAAGAGCGTAGACCGAGACCCGGCACCCGGGCCGGGGACCAGCAGCGGCGCCCAGCAAGGGCCGAACACCGGGTTCTCGGCCACTGAGCTGGTCCGAGCCGCAACTGCAGCGCCGCGCGGCTGGGCCGAGGAGCGCGCCAGCCGGTGCCCGCTCCCAGCCGCTTCCTCCCTGCCCACCGCCTCCCCCAGCCCGCTGGTCTCCGGGTTCTCCTGGGTCTCCGCACCGCCGGGTCGGAGTCAGTGGGCGGCGGGCCCCACTTTGCCAGGGGACAGCGGGACCGACCCTCGGGTTCCTGCACCACCACTGAGCCCCCGTCCCAGCCCCCGCGTGAGCGCCCTCCAGGGCGTCTTTTGGGGGCCCTCCCCTCGTCCCCAAGGCTGTCAGGATGGTGTCCTGGATGATCTGTCGCCTGGTGGTGTGAGTATGGCCACTCTCAGACTCCTTCTTTCCCCGGGTGTCAGCCTGCCTCTGGGGTGGAAGCCGGGAACGTCTGGTGGAGACGGAACTTCCTGAGCTTCCTCACACCTCCCCCCCACACACACCGCAAAGGTTAACGGACCTGCGGGCCTGCACGGGGCACCTGGGCACCGCGTCCTTGACCCACTCCTCCCCAGAATCCTTGACCCAAAGCAACCCTACCCACATGCTCGCAAACACATTCTGCAGACAGATGCCTGGGGCTGAGGGCCACAGGCAGATCCCAGCCAGGGCAGAAGCAAGGTAATAGGCACACTRAGGGTGGGGAATCCAAGGGCCTGCTTGCCATACGAACAGTCACATGACTCACCAACCTTGCCTCAGCCTCCTCACTCAGTCTTACCCTTAACCTCTGAGTACTCCAGCGCCTGGCTCAAATATCCCTGTCTGCAGCCTGGCAGTGCCAGGTCTGGTGGCTCTGGGCCTGATTGCATATCCAGGGGAGGGGACAGCCTAATGCTCTCACCCACCTTGTCTGGTAGCTGTGTTCTCTCTCCATCATGTACCCATGGGCCACAGGTGCAGGCCTGGGCAGGCTTAGGATGTTTGTAAACAGCAGGGTGGAGAGGTGGCCTCCAGGGCACTGACTCAGGCACTGCGGGTTGTGCAAGCCAAGCGGGAAAAACAGGGCTGGTCCTGCCCCTGGCACCCCAGTAGGGGGAGGCAGCCACCTGTCAGGGTACAGGGGGAGCATGCTGCCCCTCACACTCCCCTGGCTGTTCTTCCAGACTGGTGTTTGGGATGCTGTATCCAGCTTATGCGTCCTACAAGGCCGTGAAGACCAAGAACATTCGTGAATATGTGAGCATGAGAGGTGGCAGGAGGGCTTAGCTAAGGTGGGGTGGGATGACAGCCCTAAGGGGGATTGGGGGGTGTGGTGGGGCTTATTGAGGTGTGGAGGGTCTGAGCTGGCCTGCCGCTTTTCCCGGGGCCCACTAGTGTTGCACATCCTGAGTGGAGTGTCGAAGGAAGGAATGGGCCTGTTGAAGGGTGTGGAAGGAGGGCAGGCCATTGGGTGGCTATGGAAGTGCCAGTGGGTGAAATGCACTGGGATAGGCACAGGAATGAGTGGCAGCTTCGCAGAGGCTCCTGTCTAGCCAGGCTTGGGGGAATGCAACAATGCAGCGGGACAGGCTCTCTGGAATCTCTGGGCTGGGCCAGCCAGGGGCGGTGTTGGCACCACAGGCTCTGAGGCTGACCTCTGTGCTCTGTGTCCCACAGGTTCGGTGGATGATGTACTGGATCATCTTTGCAATCTTCATGGCAGCCGAGACCTTCACAGACATCTTTATCTCCTGGTCTGGGCACAGGGGTTAGTGGGCCAAGGGGCAGGGGTGTCCCACCCTTGGCCTGGCTGCTGGGCTCATCTTGCCCCTCTGTGCTCTGGCAGGTTCCCTTTCTATTATGAGATCAAGATGGCCTTTGTTCTGTGGCTGCTTTCGCCCTACACGAAGGGGGCCAGCCTACTTTACCGAAAGTTCGTCCACCCATCCCTATCCCGTCATGAGAAGGTACCCTAGGGGAGGTGGAGAGGGAGACCTAGCGGTGGGTGTGGGGAGAGAGAGAACCCTGAACCCTGCTTCAGGATGCAGGGACACCTGGGTTCCAACACCAGGGCTGCTGCTGTTTGACTTTGGGACCCTGACAAGGCCTGGCCTCCTTGTCTGCCGGGCTGACCAAATGGGTGCAGTGAATGACCAGTGGTGTGAAGTGCCAGCTGGAAGTTGTCTTGGGGGTGGGGAATGGCCCCTCGTTGAGGTGTGTGGGGGGGGTGAATGGGTGGGAAACCTCACTCTTGGTGCATTCTGGGCCTTTGTGACTGTGCATACTGGGTCAGGGTGACCAGAAGGTATGACAATCACTGGTGGCTTAGTCTGTGGAGGCAGAGAGACTCCTCTGGCTGTCCTCCTGAGCTCTCCTCCCCCGGCTCTGCAGGAGATCGACACGTACATTGTTCAGGCCAAAGAGCGCAGCTACGAGACAGTGCTCAGCCTCGGGAAGCGCAGTCTCAACATTGCTGCATCCGCTGCTGTACAGGCTGCCACCAAGGTGCTGTGGGCCCCAGCCCCCTGCCCCCTGCCCCACCCCATCCAGCTCTCTGCCAGGGGGGCGAGAGGTGGCAGTTAGGGCTAGGGCCAGGGTGCCAGGACAGGTGAGGAGGTGCAGGAGCAGAGCTGGACGCGCAGACCTTCCTGGCTGAAGGAGCAGGAATGCTGCTCCTGTGCCTGTGGCCTTAGTTTCCTGTTTCTGCCAAGTGGCCAAGGGCTGAAGGCTGCTGAGTTGCTTTCAGTTCTGAGCCCTGTGCCCCAGGGGTTAGCTGCAGGGTGGCCCTTCACATCCTTGGGTGACTTCCCTACTGCAGCCCCTTCCCCCCAGAGCCCCCACCTTTGCAGGTGACGCAGTGCCTCCTCCTCCCTCACAGAGTCAGGGCGCACTGGCCGGTCGCCTGCGGAGCTTTTCCATGCAGGACCTGCGCTCCATCCCCGACACCCCTGCCCCTACCTACCAGGACCCCCTCTACCTGGAAGACCAGGTACCCCACAGGAGGCCACCCATTGGTGAGTAAACAGAGGGACTGGGAGTCATTTGAGAGTGATGGCCTCCCCASGGCTAGGGACTTCTGGCTTGGTCCCAGGCCTTCAGACTGTGTAAATGGCCAGGCTTGTTTCCCCCTCTCTACAGGGTACCGGGCAGGGGGCCTGCAGGACAGTGACACAGAGGAGGGGGGTTGGTCGGATACCGAGGTAGTCCCCCAGCCACCAGCGCGGCCCCGGGAGAAGCCCCTGAGCCGAAGCCAGAGCCTGCGTGTGGTCAAGAGGAAGCCGCTGGTCCGGGAGGTCGGTGGCAAGGAGGGTGTAAGGGTGGTGGGTGGGCCACACCACAGCCCACACCTCCCACAGTATACCTGCTCTCTCCCCAGGGCACCTCACGCTCCCTGAAGGTCCGAACTCGGAAAAAGACTGTGCCCTCAGACATGGACAGCTAGGGTCTGCGGAGTCAGCCCAGTCTTACCTCAGGCCCTGCAGGTGCCGGGCTAGGTGCAGGGCTCCTTTGGCTGCACACTGGCTGGCCTGCACCGGCTACCTGGGTCCCACCCCTCCTGGCTCCTGCGTTTGCCTTAGAGCCAGGGCAGAGGCTGTGCGTCCTGCTGTGGACGCACCCACAGTGTCAGAGCTGGCTGGGCCCAGGGTTCTATTTATTGCCTTCCTCCGCCCTCTGCCTTCTCAGGTATGGGACCAGAGCCCCCCAAAACTGCTACAGATGAAATCAAAAGCCCACCAGCTGTTTCTTCCTTCCTGTCCTCCAGAGTACTGGGCAGCCTGCTCCAGGCCCCGGGTGTGTGCCTTGCTGTGTGTTTTGTGTTGTGAATGAGGTCAGGCTTGTGAATGTTTTGATAAATAAATACTAAAGGTGTTCTGCTTCTCTTGATTATCTCCCACCCCTCCCTCCACACTCTTAAGTCATATAGCCCAGCTAGGCACGGCCAAGGTCAAGGCCGAGGCCAAGGTCACACAGTGCCAGATGAGACTGTATTGACGAGTAGTCATGTGGTGTCACTGCTGTCATGAATGAGCTCTTGGAGTCTCTGAGTCCTGGGTGACGGCAAGACCTAAAGAGGTCTGAAAAGAGGAGCCAGGATTGGGCCTGGCCAGGAAGCTACAACCATGGAGGAGCCCGTGGGAGTGAAGGTGTGGAGGGGCAGTGGGCAGCGAGGGGGGATGTTGGGGGTAGTCCTAGGTCCTGAGCTTGGGGTGGGGGTGTCCCACATCACCTCCCAGTAGCTCCCCAGCCACTGAGTTCCATCAACAGGTACCTCAGGGGTAGCTTGCATTCTGAGCAGTGGCCACCAGAGGGCAGCAGCTGCCGGGATCTGGGCTGCCCCCAGCTTCCAGGTCAAGGAGGGCGGGGCTGGGAGCCTGGCCAGAGCCTCGCCCTGCCGGGGCCTGGCTGCTGGCGGCTGTCCGCAGAGACGATGCAGAGCTCCAGCCGGGCCTCCTCCGATGGCCCTCCCTGCTACTTGTGGTCGCTGGTCTGTGGCCCGCCATCCCCGGAGCTTCCACTGCTCTCTTGAGACCAGGCTCTTTGGCTGGGCTGGCTCTACGCCACCCCCTCTGATCCCTGGGACAGCCCTCCTGGTGTCACCACTGTGACACCCCCTGTCCACCCCCAYGCCTGCTCTTCCTTTCTGCTTTTGAGTAAGCAAAGAGGTGGGTGAGAGTGCTGGATGAGGGGCAGGGGAAAGGGCTGAGAACTTGGATGGCCTGAGAGGAGGAGGATTAACTCTTGGTGTGGGATTATCCGGGTTTTATTTGGGAGAAAGCACTTAATCTCCTGGGGTGCTTTAGCTCCTCGCATGTGGGTGCTCAGTGGCTTCCTAGGTGGCCTTACCTGGCACCACGGTGTTGTCTAACCTCATTAACTCATTCCAAAAATCTGTACTGAGCCTCTACCAAGGACCAGCCATATTGCTAGATTTGGTAGGGATGCAAAGACTAAGGTCACACAGCTAGAGTGTGGCTACGGCACACCAGAGGCTGCTTCAAGACCCCGATATATTAATCTAATCTTCGCCCTTGCCCTCTCAGAAGGTTGGAACTATTGTTATCATCTCCATTCCACAAATAGGGGGGGGAAAAAGCACAGAGAGGACAAGTGATTTGCCCAAGGTCACACAGCTAGTAAGTGACAGAATGGGACTTTGAGGCAGGCTGTCTGGCTCCAGAGTCGATGTACTTAATCACTATGCAGAACCCAAGTAAATGAGCTGTTCCTTGCCTGGGAGGCAGGGAGAAGGAGACTAACGTGGATGGAACGTTTTGCATGCCTGACCTTGCACTGGGAATTTCACAGGGATTGGTTTCTTTGAATGCTCCCAGCCACCCTGTCGGGTAGGGGCTGTACCCATTTTACAGATGAGAAACTGGGATCTGAGGGCTGCAGCGGGTGGTCCACAGTGGTGCTGCTGGGAGCTGGGGGCTACGCCTCCTGCTGCAGGAGCCGAAGAGGCAGAAGTGGAGGCAGCCTCCGAAGACCAAACCAAAGAACAAATAGTGAAGGGGCCAAGGAATCAGGGGCTCAGGAGAAGGGGGCCGGGGGAGGCCGAAGTGCGGGCATTTCAGGGGCTGGGGCTTCACCTGCCTGCTCCCAGGACAGTGCTCCTCCCAGTGGGCAGGTCACACGGACCCTCCGCAGACTTGGTGAAGCTTTCTGTGTTCCACTTGGTCCCGGCTCTGCACAGCCGGCCGGTGCCCACTGTCCCCTGGAGTGCCCTGTCTCCCCAGCCCACTGTCCCCTGCCTGCTTGGGAAGCGCTCCACAGGCACACCCTGCCTTGTCTTGCTTGCTCCTCTGGACCTCTTGCCTTTCTGTTCTTGCATGTACTTTTCTTTTCCCCTTGAGCACATTGTATTTTCTCCCTTCCTGTGTTGTGACTTCGTGAAGAATAGACATCTTACTGTTGTATCCCAGCCCAGAACAAGTGGTTAAACCGAAGTGAAATATTTTTGTGAGTGTGTGATTCAGTGGGGAAGTGCTGCTTATTGTCTGACTTCTGCACTCAAGTATCACCTCTTCCATGAAGCCCCCCTGATTTTCCCAGGGCAGGATTAGAAACATAATTTGTTAACCTGTCCTTCTCCCTCGTAGTCACCCTACAGCCCCAGCATAGGGCCTGACAGCTAAGCAGCCTGAAAGAGTGTTACTAGAAGAACAAATGCAGTAAGTGACCAGAAGCTCCTCCAGGGCGGGAGTGGCCTTGTGCTTTGGTCTTTGTGTCCTACGTCACCTAGGGGCTCACCAGGGTCTCCATGACATAGGTGGATGGATGGCTGACTCTAGTTGTATGGGTCACACGACATCCTGGGGTCAGAGGGGAAGGAGTGAGAAGTCCAAGTTCTAGGGCATTCCTGGTCAGCCATACGCGTGATACCAAGGCTTGGGCACTGAGTATCAGTTGGGCCTCCCTCAGAGCCCAGATGCCCCTTGAGGACCACCCATCACGGCCACCCCTGGATGGGGTCCCTGTTCCACCCTTCAGCCCTCTGGCCCAGGCTCTCGGGGGAGGGTAGTCAGTACTGTCACCTGCCCACACCCCCCAGTCTGCTTGCCACCAGTGTGCCTGGCAGGATCGGGGCTGGGAAGGGACCTGAAGCCACCAAGGGCAGCCCCCTTAGCACCCTGCCCCTCTGCTGGGTCCTGTCCTGGCCTGCTGCCAGGGCCCATCCCTTTCCCCCCAGTTCCTGGGGGCAGGTGGCCCTGGATTCTGGTCTCCCCTGCTCCCTCTGCCCCACCTCCTCCATCCCTTGGCCCTTCCAGGTAGCTCTTCTACCTCCTGCCTCAGCCCACCCTGTCCCTCTGGCCTGTGGCACCTCTGTGTCCTGGTTCCCTTCCCTGCTCCATGTCACAGCTCACTGGCCCACTTGCTGTGTCTTAGCGGTCACTGCAGCAAGCTCGGCCTCTACACCCAGGCAGCCCCCGCCCAGGTTGAGCAGGGGAGTCCTGGTGGGCACCGTCCTCCACCAAGGCATAGAGGGGACGAGCACTCAGCCTCTGCGCCCATCCCCCACTGGCACCAGGGCCTGGGGGACCCAGGAGCTGGGGAGGGGGTCAAAACCTGGGCTGAAGGAGGATGCCCGCTGCCGGGGGTCCTGGGCTCCAGAGCTGGTGTCGCTGGGCCTGAAGGTCCTGAGCCCTGGGGCAGAATGGAGGGTCATTTGGGGGGTGGGTGTTGGAGGAAGGAGGAGGGCCCCAGAAGAGGAATTAGGTCAAGGATGTGGGTGGGTGGGTGAGAGGGGGGTGGCCTCTGCCACTGAGCTTCCTCCTGGCTCCCAGAGCATCTCCACACTTCCCTTCCCCTTCCCCTCCCCCCAGGTCCTGGGAGAATTCTCCCGCAGCCCCCTCCCCCGGGCCCCCCACCCCAGACACTGCCACAGGGGTGGGGGGTGGGGGCCGGCCTCAGCTGTCTGAAGGATGGAGGGGCTGGGGAAGCAGGGCTAGGTGCCCAGACGGCCGCGTGTGTGGGAGGGGATGTCCTCAGATGCCCTCCACCCGGCAGTCCCCGCTCTGACGTGGGTGCCCCCCCTCTCCCCGCCCGGATTAGTGGCAGCTTGGCCTGACTCTCCGGGGCTCCTTCCCCCGCCCTGCCTGCTGCCCACCCCTGGGCAGGGGGCTGCTCCACCSGAGGGGCACTGTGCTTGCCCAGGTAAGGGGCTCTGGGGTGGCAAGAGGGCAGCTGGCTGAGGCGCTGKGGTGGCTCTCAGCAGCAGTGTGTGTGTCAGCGTGTCYGTMAGTGCGCGAGGGTCGGTGTGGGCTGGGGCTGGGCCCAYGGGTGTCAGGGGGAGCTGGTCAGCTTGCCGAGGTCCATGGTGCATGTGCTGGGTCACTCTCCTTCTGTGTTTGTGTCTTTTGTGTGGCTCCCCAGCTCTGCTCCATCCTCAGGCTCAGGACAGGCAGGCACAAGGACTGTGGYCTGTGGCATGGACTCTGAGGCCGGATGGGGAACTGGGTGGGGGTGGGAAAAGGGGTCCTTCCCCCAGCCCCACTCCCATCAGCCCCTGGKCATGCCAGGAGCCKGCCCGAGAGCCCTGGTCCASTCCAAGGACTRTGACCTGACAAGACAGACATGGCCTCTGGGGGTGGGGAGGGGGCGTATCTGTTCTGATCCCCCAGGACAGTCCCATCCCCTTTGGGGATGAGAGCCCAAGCCAACAAGCCCTCAGGGCTCTGGACAGCCCAAGCTCCCACTCTGGACTCTTCCAGGCCCCAAGCCACAGCTCTCTCTCCCAGGGTTCTCCCACAAGCCTTGCTTCTGAGGAGGCAGGCCAGAGGGACAGATGGGGACCACAGGCACCCCAGCCCACCATTTCAACCTGGAGCCAATCTGGAAGCAGGAGGCCAAGTGCAGGGCCTTGGGTCCTAGTCCCTGTTAGACCCTCCGCCATCTACTCCCCTGGCACACTTAGGTCTGGCCGCCCCCAGGGGAGCTGGGGAAGGAGGGAGTGAGAATAACTCAGACATGTAAACAACCCCTACCAGCTCGCTCTGCCACAGAACCAGCCTCTGGGGTGGCCAGGGGCTGGGGAATCCATGCCRACATGGCCCAAGTCCTGTCTGGTGCCCTCACCCCAGATCCCCTCTCCCAAGGACCCTTCCTCTTCTCTGCAACTGGTGAAAGACTCCCTGCCTCTGCTCCAGTCTCTTAAGAAGAAGGTTCTGAGCTCCCCACGGCTCCCCGCTCCAGCCATGGTGGTGTTCTAACCT